TTCTCAATGTCAAATTGGACCTTGGTGCCCCGCCCTACCCTACATGTATATGTATATATATATATATATATATATATATATATATATATATATTGTATTTTTCGGCGTTGACACTTATTCTTGAAAGAAAGCAGCAAATTAGTCAAATAAAATAACATTAAATAATAAAAGATATTTATTCTACACGTTTTGACATTAGATATGTCATCATTCAGCAGTCTTGGTACAATATCCATAACTAATAAGTTTATAAAAAATCCAATATCAGCGATGAAACATAAAGCATTCTATTAAAGTGCAATATAAATGTGATCTCCGAATTCCGAAAAAGTTCGCCTGTGATTGCAATAAATGTCACTTCACATAGAACTAATATGTATGTATGTATGGTATAAAAGAAAAACGTTACGTTCGAACAAAATGCATTAAGAAAGTTTCGAACAATGATTAAAGGAAAAATCCTATAGAACTTATTTTCACGAAAAACTTTTCATTCAAGATTTTGCGTAATGGATTCGTTTCCAATCCCAGTATTGACTTATCTGCTTTTGAAAAATTCATTGTACGGGAACATAAATTTAATTATTCGAGAAAGTTTTGATTTTAAAGTATTCACCCTTAACAAAATTACGCGTTTTTATCGGGATAAGCGGTGACAATAAATAAGTTCGAAAAGATACGATACGACTTTTAAGACATTTCATATTCAAGGATAAAATTATTGAAGAAGTTTGGTTTATTTCTTTAAGAATTATATACAAAAAACACCTAAGTGATATTTGTTCTGCCTGAAATATCTGAAGGTAGTCTTTACGAAAAAATAGCCTGGCGAATCTTTACCGGAAACAAGTTGGTATGGTGGTAACTGGATATCTTGCAAACCTTCAATTTTCAAGATCAGATTCAGGATTTATAAAACCAAAATTCAATTAAGATATAATTTAGTACATTAATATAAGGTGAACCACTGGGTTTTCCTTCTAAAATTCTATTTTATTTGTCAAATTAATTACTCATTGTCTTTCTGTATAGATAGATTGTAATTTATAAGAAAAAAAGATTCAGGATTTATGAGGCAAACGCTGAAAAAATATTTTGCACTTTCATATTTTTGAAATTGGTGCAGCCAATTTTGAAAAAATATCAATAAAATGCGAATTTTGGGTCAAATCACGCATATACTTTTCCAATTTTGGTGTTCAAAATCGACTGACTAATACACAAATGAAAAAATGTAGCACCAAAAACAATTGATAATAAATAATACTCTATCTTAATCCACTGTCTTTTGGTTGTTAACTTTTCAAAAAGTTTAATAAAAACACACCCCAAAACTCTGCTACTTATAAAAAATTCTTATAAAAAAAAGAGTGCGCGTAAGGTTCACACGCGATTGAAGTAAAACTTATTTGTTACTGCACAAGACGGCATTTAAGTAAAAATAAATACATCATCATATAACAATTTTGAACAGTGTTTATTAGTAGTAATATGGTAACACTCGTGATGCACACATTTATTAGTATCAATCATTATACACATTTATATAATGATAAATTATAAATTATATATTTATAATAGTATTAAAAATATGTATAATATTTAAAAACAATAATGTAATTAAAGTCATAGTTCAAATATGATATGATCGGTTTGTCATTGTAATTAGCATTTAGAAATTAACCTTCATTAGAGAAATGAAGTAATTGCTGATTAATAAATTCTATAATATTAGTTCAAACAGTGAATTGTGTTAAACAACGCCTAAACAAATATTGTTTTCGCAACTTCACTCATCATGTACTTGTGTTTGAACTTCATGTAATTAAAATTAACATACATTCATTGACTGCTTGTATTTTTTTCACTTTTTCGCTGGCGAAATAATCTCATACTTTGAACAGCTGTAAAATCTGTCTTGCCTAAAAAATATTTTTCATTTTAATAACTTAACAACAATTTTGAGGTAAATATTCTCTACTGATAACTTCTACTTATTTATTCCATTTATTTATTAAATTTTCGTTATAAATATTAGATGTACACAAAAGATTGTACTAAATAAAAAAAAAACTTAACCATACACTGATTGCATTTGACTTTTCTCGTTTGATTGTTTCCCTTACCAAATCCTACTTTTCTCTACAATAACAGAGCTTAGTTTAGCATGTAATTTACATGTAAATGCAAACAATAATATGCTTGCTCTCTACTCGAATACACATTATATTGATTACATTACTGAGACGATCGCATTCAATAATGTTTTGATTTAAGTGTGCGGTGTGTGATGTTCTAACTCAATTAAATCTTGTTGCTTTGAACGTACGGTTAAACATCGCTTAGAATAACACGATGGCTAGGAGAAGTTTTGCTAAATCACTTATGAACTAGGTGTAAGTTCGATTTTGCCTTAGAGCAAATTGCAGGAAGTTCCCGATATGTGTGAATCATCAACTTGATATTCAATAAGTGATTATCCAAAATTTTAATGATTTTTTAAAAATAATGTACCGATTCTGCCGCATAATAGACCAATGTTATGGCAAGGCTATGCTATGAAGAACTTTCCATACTGAATATTGACAAAAGCCATATGGTTACTGTGCAGTCAGGCCATTTTCTCAGGTTGTCAGATAGAAAACCTAACCTAGAAATCGCACAAATGTCAAAAAAACGATCTTAGGTAACAGGGTCCTTCTGACCCAGCTTCATAACATACAAGTGACGTTGCAGTTTATGTGTAAAACGCCTGAATGCACAGCCAATACATGACATTTTGACAGTATTCAGTAGCATAATGCATGGAAGTTGGAGCGTAACATGGCCTTGCCATAACATTGGTCTGTTGTGCGGCAAAATCGGCTCAAAAATCTCTTTTCGTAGGCCCATAATACTTTAGGATGTTCGTTTGATTCAGGAACTCTATCATTATGCAAAGTTCCGTTGAATTTGTAACAAAGATCTACAATTTTGAGTGCAGTTCCCAACTGACTAGATCAGAATTTTTGGCGAAAAGATTGACATTTTTTTACACTTATTTGTTAATTATAAAAAACATGAGTCCTTAGCAAATCGGATTTTCTGGAGAATCTTCTTCGGGGAGTTAATAAATAATGAAAAAAGCATATCATGAGAAAAACGTATTAACTATGAGAGAGATTGTAATTAATTAGGAACTCACAGAAGAAATCAATTTCTAAATTTTCTTTCCAAGTATGTCATTTGTCACCAATATGGTACTAAAAGTAGACTTGTAAATAATTTGAATAAATTATGGATAATCAAAATAAGTCAGGTTTATCCACACACGAAATAATAAGTGCAGCCCAATTAACTATTAAGTCATGATTGTTTTTTTTAGAAAAACAATCAGAATTATTCTTACAATTAGTGTTCTATGAGCAGTTGTGATGAAATTGCTATAACCTAGTATTATTAGAAGGCAACCCAGAGATTCCTTTCTCTTTGTGATGAGATTATTATTTGACATTTATGTATTATATATCATAAATTATTCAGGAACGCCCTGACAGGCTATTTTTACTTGAAAACATTTTTGGGTCCATATTTTCAAGTAAAAGCAAATATCACTACTGCTTGATATTATGTTATACGCAGCGCGGGATTTTAGCCTGCAATCTAGCAAGGCCAAGACTCTAATCACTTGCGCCACGTACTATTTAGTAATAAATGTTATTTTTTACATTTGCACGTTTTAATGATTTATAGAATTTTTAGAACCAAGAACATTTTTAGGCCTTATATGGAAGAAAACTTCAATTATTAAACTTTAAATTAAATCATACCATTTCTAATAAATAGCATTCATAAAAACAAATATTTGTTTCTATTTTGTATAAAAAACAAGCACAAAATTTAAAGAAAACGAACTATTTCTGATTATTCTTGCTATTTCGTTGAAGTAGTATACTTGACTTGAAACATGTTTTTCTAAGTACATATTTGCATATTTACATAAATAATCCAAAATTTGCAAAATGTTAATATGAAAATCAATTTTAAATATGTTATGATATGACATTATTGTATATTATCATACTGTATACTGACTCAAAGTACTGTAATTGAAATGATAAAGATGATTGATTATTACGCATTAATAATTCTTTTTTCCTAAATCTTTAAAATACAACAAAGATAAAAGTCTTTGTCTGAGTCGCATATTTTAAAATGCAGAATAAAATTTTACAAAAAAAATTCTTTAAAATTCCACCAGCTACCTAACTATCTGTTAATCCAGATCAATATAAAACCAGTAATTCATACATACTAGAACAGTGTCATCTACCATACAATCGTGACAAATCCACAAAAACCTATTATTTTCCTCCTATAAATGTTGCCAGCCCCTGAACGATCCATCAAAATCGTAATTAGGGTTGTGCTGGTTATGTTTGATGTCAAATTGGTAATCAATTAATGGATAGATATTAATGGCAAATGGCAAATCATCAAAAATGAATTCGTGATGGGCAATGAAAATCATGATGCTCCGATTCTATGGAAGTCGTTAAATAATCATTAATTGTAACAGAACGTTTAATTAGTAATTGCATTGTCCGTTTGTAATATATTGTTTATGGCTAGTTGCTTTAAACATGTTGATTCGAAATCTATCATATTGACGACAGTCAATTTCATCATTTGACTAACCACAGCTTGTTGAATTAATTTTGATAATAAATTAATAAAAAAATAGGTTGCAAATATTGATCCACACCATTTTTTCAACTCTAGTTTCATGTATATTATTTTTATTTACAGACAAACTTTTTTTTGAAAAAATAGAACAGATTATGATGACAACATAAGAATTTTAGTAAGTAAGTAGTTTAGGTAGAAGAATTTCAATTCGAATAATAAATTCGAAGAAAAATTCGTTCGACATATTACTGATTTCATACAAATATGTGCAGTTGAAATAAACTATATTATATTAAAATACATTAAGAATAAAAATATTTTTATGAACTTACATTATAATGCAGAAACGATTATGTAGATTTGTCTTTGAAAATTGGAAACTCGTCTTTTGCCTGCAAACAAAAAATACATTTTATTAATACATTTTAATCTAAATAATCTGAATTACAAGAAGTAAAGAGAAAAATGCCATTATATATATATATATATATATATATATTGTAAGGGGTATGCACCCATTCGTAATAATTATAAATAATTATTATTATATAACGGTCAGAATACAACGCAGTTGTAGTGAATTACTCATGCTACTACATTGTATGAAAAAAATCCTTTCCAAAACACAAACTACGCAGTAACAACTAAGTAAAACATTGAGTTGCACTATACAATGACATTGAACAAGTCGTAAAATAATGTTATCTAGGATTACAAAGCCACATTGCGGGCGAGCTGATAAAAAGGCTCGCATTAGACCATCGGAGTCAGTCGTACTTTAGTTTTCAATAAGTTCAGATCAATATGAGTCAGTCGTCATTTAGTTTTCATAAAGTTCAGATCAACATGAGTCAGTCGTGCTTTAGTTAGCAATGGAGTCTTATTCACGTTCAGTTGTTAAGTTAAGTTATAAAACAAAACAAATTGCTAGTAATTTATGTACTACTAATGTCTAACTTACAGCAAAAGAACAAACAAAGTGATCTATCAGTATACAAGTAACAGTTAATATTAAAATAAATCGAGCAAAAAAATTCTTTTGACTCTTTACTGAACAATAATGAAAACTTGTTCGAACGAACATACTTCATCGTTCTCCCTTTGGTCCTTATCTCAAAACCAGTATAATTTAGCCTGTTAGTTTATTATGACGACTATTAATACCGCAACCTGATTCAACCGTACCCTACTGATTGATTAATACAAATTTCGTCAGATACAAAAATGTATTTTTATGTCCTTTACCCAGCCCTGTCGTGTAATTCGAAATAAAATTCATTGCCGGTGGTCTGCGCTTTGCCGCATTCTATGAACGCATTGTCTTCCACTCTACATTAAATATCGATAAAACAATCATTTTTAAAATACGGCATCGCTCGCTAATATTTTTATGGATTCGGACTGTCTTGCCCATTTGTATTTCGCATTATTCTCGATTACATTCTAGAATAATGTTTCACTATGTATAATACACATTTTTATTCGATTACATGCCCGAAATTGAGTATTATAAATACCTAACTTGAGAACAAGGACTTTCTACCTTTTATATTGATGAATATCAACGTTTATATTTTATTAAATTTTAATAAGCTGAAAAACGTTGAAGTAAAAACATTTATATAAATTAAATTTCTACTTTTTTGTCCATTTGTGTTTCACATTATTGTCAATTACTCTCCGGATTGATGTTCAACCACGTATAATACATATTTTTATATGAAAACACACCCAAAATTAAACTTGATGAATTCAGAAGAAAGAAGATCCTTTAAATTGGTTTAATTATTTACATTTAATTGATAAAATTCAATTTTAGAATAATGAATAAAAAATGAAGAAATGCAATTTAAGAAGGTAGAAGTCCTTTATAAATACCAAGGTTTTATTTTATTAATTTTAATAAGTTAAGTGTTTCTTCAAGTTCATAGTCAAATACTTCAATTTCAATTAAGTCTGTAAGTGCTGTCCATTTGTATTTCGGATTATCCCCAATTATATTTTTTAAACTAATATTAATGTTTAACTATATATTATATAATATATATTTTCATTAGATTATATATCTAAAATTTAGTATAATGAATACAGTACTGAAAATTTAGTATGATGAATACAGAAAATGATATTTCTAATTTGAAATGTTATTAAGTGATTTACATTTATTAGTAACAAAGATTGCGTTTACCATGTAATATATATTACTATGGATAAAATTTTGTGATTGGTATAAATATATTTATAAATATTTAAATGTATAAAATATCTCAGCATTTTTATTTTTTTGGCCTCTAATATTTACATGAAATATTTTATAATTTATTAATTCTTATAAAACTATCATGTATAAGAATTAACTTTATCTTATACGATGATTTTTCCTTGTTGTATAGAAAAAAACTTATAAGTTTCTAATACGTACAGAACCCAGTTTGTGCCATTGATTTCTTCAGATCACAAAATTCTTGTTCAAAGACTTCTTTTATTTATTTTCCTATCAAAATGAACATATTGAAAATAATGAATTTTCATATCAGAATAAACAAATAATTTTCACATATCTCTATCATTTACAGGTTCATACTAATTTAATTATGACATTTTTCAAAGTTTTATGTTATATTTTATTTCAATTTTTAGTAGCTGAGTATAAATTTCTTAACCATCATTTCATTCTGGCCTACCTGTCTACTTATGCCCGTATACCAGTCTACCTCTTTAACTGTCTACTTAAACACATGCTTATCTGTCTACCTGTGCACCTGATTTGCTGTCTTGTTGCCCACCAGTTTATCAGTCTACCTGTGCATATATTCACCTGCCTACTTGTATACTTTTTACCAGCCTATCTGTCTATCTCTATATCGGTCTGCAATTCTATGTATCTACTACCTGTCCATGATTCTTCCAATTCATCTGTCTACCTATTTCAATAATTCGTTTTTATCAAAACATTTGTATCCTACCAAAACACATAAGGATTGTTTTTCATTATTATTTTTACCCTTTCGCAAAGTTTTGTTCATCTTGTATAATAAAAAATACTTCTTATAAGCAGTTATTCATATTGTTCATCATTTTAATTAATTCAAATTTAACCTGATGAATTATATTAAATGATGATAACTTGTTCATATAAATTTTGGATTTGACATCCATTTTAGCCAGCTATCAAGCAATAGTGATATCAGATTTTCACTTGATTGCATCTTGAATGTGATATAAAGTGATAATAGCCTTTCGAGGCATTACTGCAATATATATATTCAAATCACTATTAGAATCTCTAATATAATTTTATCAGAAGTAATATGGTTAACCATTGATATGCGTTCTAGAAACACTATGTTGAAGAATATACATCAATTTAGCTTCTAGCTTTGATAGTTCTCTTTGCTGCTAAAAATAAACTAGCTGTAAGTGGAATTCTGTCTTAAGGCATTAAGGCATCGTGCCTTAAGGCAAATTGCTGGAACTTCCCGTACCAAAATTTTTTTTTTAAAAACGATTAAGATTTTTGAAAAAAATTTACTTTGAAAAAATAAGATTTTTGAGAAACTATATATTGGACAAAAAATTACTTTTTTTTGAAAAAAAAAATTTTTTTTATTTTTTTAAAAAAAAAAAAATGTTTTATTTTATTTTGACATATTTTGGAAGATCTAAACTTTTTTTCAGAGCAATCGTACTGCTTTAACTGCATAAAGACGAAATATCAAAGCCCGTAAGCGCCGCGTCGCCGTCTAACGCGTAAACATTGGTACGGAACCCATAGAAATGTAAAAAAATTATACTTATTGTTAAAATCTCTATAAAATATTTGATAATTTGATGTGCATATGTCTAATGATCATTTTTGACCGCCAAATGGCATTTTTTTTTACTTTTTTCATCAGATCTCCGAAACCGTTAGACCTGCCTTCATGAAAATTTGATCAATTCTTTATCTTGTCAATACAAGTAAAATGTTTTTTGAAATATTCAAATCGGACGCTCCGTTCTCTTAAAAACTGAGTTACCGTTTTCGGCACTTTTTGCCCCGTATCTTTGGAACGGCTAGACCTGCTTTCGCCAAAAACTAATCAGCACGTCTCCTTATTAATACGAATCGAATGTTTTTTGAATTATTCAAATCGGTTGATCCGTGTTCCCGAAATCGTCGACGAAAATTTGTATCCGCACATACATACACACACGCACATACATACATACATACATACATACATACATACATACATACATACACACACACACACACACACACACACATACATCCATTTTTTCTAAGGTATGCCAAAATGTTCAGAAACCTCTGAAACGTAAGATATATAAACATTTTCATTTTCGATTTTTTTGCGATTACTATAACTTGCCCTACGGGAAGTTAAAAAAAAAACATTTTCAGTCTCATAAAAACTCAGGAATAATATCATTTTCGTTAAAACTTCGACAGATGTATTCAACTAAGTAATTGTTGTCCAACAATAAAAGCTCAATTCGTGTACCACACACGTCAAATCGTGAACTAAATTTGATCAATTCTTTATCTTGTCAATACAAGTAAAATGTTTTTTGAAATATTCAAATCGGACGCTCCGTTCTCTTAAAAACTGAGTTACCGTTTTCGGCACTTTTTGCCCCGTATCTTTGGAACGGCTAGACCTGCTTTCGCCAAAAACTAATCAGCACGTCTCCTTATTAATACGAATCGAATGTTTTTTGAATTATTCAAATCGGTTGATCCGTGTTCCCGAAATCGTCGACGAAAATTTGTATCCGCACATACATACACACACGCACATACATACATACATACATACATACATACATACATACATACATACATACACACACACACACACACACACACACACACACACATACATCCATTTTTCTAAGGTTTTCCAAAATGTTCAGAAACCTCTGAAACGTAAAGATATATAAACATTTTCATTTTCGATTTTTTAGCGATTACTATAACTTACCCTACGGGAAGTTAAAAAAAAAACATTTTCAGTCTCATAAAAACTCAGGAATAATATCATTTTCGTTAAAACTTCGACAGATGTATTCAACTAAGTAATTGTTGTCCAACAATAAAAGCTCAATTCGTGTACCACACACGTCAAATCGTGAACTGCGGATTCTGAGAGAGCGAATCAGAAATGATGAACGTTCATTGATCCGACCGCGAGGTGCACAAATTCACCTGAAAGATTCTTACTCAGTCCCAAAGAATAGAAACTAAAAATATATAATCGGGTAACAAAAAAATATAGTCGGGTAAAAACGGGTATACATCCTATTAGATAGTTGTAGACGTTTGATTGAAAAAAACTTACATCCCTTCTGGATCAATATATCATAAAAAAAGATTTCGATGAAGAGACT